TACAAACTCACCAATCACCTATCGTGAACATTGGCACCACCATGAATCAGCCGGCATCATCAGTTCAACAGCCAACTCAAGATAATTTGGGCAGTCTGCACGATTTGTTAAAAGCATTTGCTCTAAATAAAGCTGTTAAAACATAAAACTGTTCGTAAAATCCACAATAAAAATTTGTTTGATTTATTTCTTTGATTCTGACTTAAAATATTGTATGCTTCTTGATTATTAATAAAATATAACATTGGTTTAAAAAAAATTAATTAGTTTTTTTTTTCTTTTTATGTGACATATCACATCTAAAAGTGTTTATTAAATTACCATTGAGCAAACTAAATCTAGTCTATGTAATAAAATAAACAAAAAGGAGATGGTTTGAGCTATAGAAATTCTGATTATATCAATGGATAGAGCTCTTCAAGTTGTACTTGGAACAAGAATAGGGACTTTGGAACAGGTCCCTAGACGAATATGGGCAACTTTTACTCGAATCCGGTGCTAACTTCACCTACATCTATATAACGGAAAAAAACACGTGAGAAAGAATAAAATTTCTTTTGAAAAGAAAAGAAATGATATTTGTCGCAGTTCTAATATATAGCTAAGAAAAGAAAAGAAAAGAGAAAAAAGAAAAGAAAAGAAAAGCGCTATTTGTCCCAGTTCTATTCATTGAAGATATGAAAGAAGAGAGGACTAAAGAAAAAAATGTTCTTTTCATTTTCTCGCATGGGCAAATATATCTTGCATGCCGAGTTCTGTATGTATTACATGATGAATCCTTATACGCTACAGCTCTGTTCAATGTTATAATACTTACAATGGGACGATTGAACATTGTCAGCACGGACGGACGGAGGCACGTATATACAAAGAACTTTATCGACACATAGCAATATATATATATATATACACTGCTTTCGAGATCATTGTGAATTTCAATGAGTATGAATAATTTGATTGTTAGCATTCTTGATCTACCTGACGAAATATTGGTTACTATCTTCAAGAAACTTAATAATATTGATCTATTATATTCACTAGTGGGTACTAATCAAAAACTCGATAAGGTGGTATGTGATATTAACTTTACTCAAGCTGTTGATCTAACGACAGTATCATCAAACGAAGCGAGCGATTCTAGAACCAATGCTATAGTTGATCGATTTTATACATACATATTACCTCGAATTCATAATAATGTGGAATCTTTTACTGTTCAAGCATCGTTCCTCCAGCGTATTCTTCATGCTAGCAACTATCCTAATTTACACAAGCTCACTCTTGTCAATCTCGAAATCGCTATGGCTTCTGATACTTTTAATAGTATGTTACTTGATTTTTCGATCTTCAAATAGTAGAACAGTTCTTTTCATTTGTAAATTTTTAGAAAAATCGCTATTTATTCGTTCCTACAAACACCAAATTTCACATCTGGTCGCCACTATCAGTGACGTAATTTGTAATAGGTCAATGGAGATCATAGTAACTCAAACTTATGTCGCCATTTTTGCTTGGTTATCTAATGTGAAGTATTTGGATTTGGACGGCAATGACGAAAATCCCTTCTCACGACGACTGCTGCGTGGTTTATCTTCTACGAGATGTTATTCATCTAGCGTCGCTCATTTAAGTATTAAAATACACAATTTTGATGATTGTCTCTGCCTACTTGATGGTCGCCTTAGTCAATTACATACATTGATTGTCAAGCTTGATTACATTCGTAATTCAAGAATATTTATAAATAATGAGGTAAAGAATAGACAATAGAAATAATCTTTCATTTTAATTTCTGCTACTCTCTAAAAAAAAAGGTACTCTACCGAACCCAAAAAAAGGTTTAAACTTTTGTCACCATCTATATACCTTTTTAAGGTTTTGTACAAACTATATACCGTTTTACTTAGCTAAATCCGTGACTGAGAAAAGCTTGGGAATACTGAGAAAATACTTTTTTTTGTGTTTTCACACAAATTTTTGCCAGTGACGAATTTAGGGTGCTGTACGAAACCTTAAGGTTTCGTAGTCTGTATGGAACTTTAAAAAGGTATATAGATGGTGACAAAAGTTTATACCCTTTTTAGGTTCGGTAGAGTACCTTGTTTTTTAGAGAGTAGAACAGTTGTATTAACAATGTCTAAAGGCAGTTCTAAGAAACATGTGTGTATCTATGCAAAAGTATTGATTGGAAAGTTAGACGATTGAAATACTAGCTAGTGAATAAATTAATAATTAAGTGAGTAATTAATATTTGATGATATTCTGTTGTAAGCTTCATGGATGATTAGCCTTTTAGATTTTTTCATCTGTAACAGTAAATTTTGTATAAAATAAATTAAGATTACTAAAAAGAAAAAGAGTAGTTCTGTTTATCAAACAAACAAAGAAATATTACGAAGACAATTAGAAAATACAGACTAAGAAATATTGCAGTATTTTTGTTTCTTAACGTTTGCAAAACCTTTTTACTTATCCCTTTATGAGTTGCTCTTTTGTCGTTGAATTATTATTAATTTTGGCATGCAGAGATGAACAGGAACTTTTATCGCTTTTCCTATCCTTTTCACTTTTTGCATCTCAGTCAGTTACACGTGTTTGATTGCTTTTGAGGTGTTTTTCAATCTTTCGCTTTTTCAGTTCTAGTCAACGTAGTTTTTTCGATTCTTAGAATCATCCAAAAAAACAGTATATTTCTTCATGAAACTACTTATACAATTGAGATATAACATGATGTAGATAAATAGCAAGAAGACTTCAGCTTTTTGTTGATCTATTTTAAGATAAAAGACCGAGCTCTTTGCTATTCAATAATCAAACAAATGTCAGAATATGAGAATAATTCTAAATCAATAGAGTTCTATTCGAAAATCGGAATATAGCTAATAAATTAAAAGATTAATTCAGAAAGAAATCAATCGTTCACACATTAATTTATGATCATGGATTCATAATCGTGCTGAACTGAAAACTAACCTTAATACATATTAGCAATAGTCATCGATTTATTCAATATATCATTGGATGATGTATTAACGTAGCACTGCTTAATATTTTTTATTTTTTTTTTGCATAGAACACTCTGCTTAAATTGAAATGTTTTTCGCTATATGTACGCCATACAACAGTTGCATTTGACAATACAGTTGTGCCGCTTCTTCGTCGAATGTCAAATTTAGAAAAGCTCACATTATCTTTTCGCGCTCGTCGTCGAACTTCATTTATTGATGGCATTTATCTGACTAATGAAGTTCTCGGTCATATGTTGCATCTACATACATTTATGTTTGACATCGTCAGCGACGATACAATCATTAATCAACATTTTAAACCATCTCCGGATGATATTCGACGTACGTTTATTCAAGACAGACATCATGTTGATTGTTATATTGACTATTATTCAAAGGAGATAGGCCGGTGCCATGTTTATTCACTTCCGTTCACTATGGAACGTATACATTACATTACATCCCGTTTTCCAGGTGGTACGTTCGCGAATGTCTGCGTTTTACGTGTGTGCGATATTGACCGCTCTTTTGAACACACATTCTTTGCTAAAATCTCGCGTTCTTTTCCATTACTCAGTCAACTGACAGTATGGAATACAACAGAACGAATAGAAAAACCATCACGTCAGTTGAAGAAATCCAAAGAAGCATCCTCGATTATTGAATATTCTTATCTTGTTGAACTTATCCTGTCTGATGTACATATAGACTATGTGGAACAATTTCTTTCTAGCTTGAATACACGGCTGCCTTGTCTTAGCAAGCTTCACGTTCGATATGAACATTTAATAAGTGTCACAAACAACTTCACAAGAAATTCAACGCGTATCAACTGTGCAAAACTGAAATGTATTATCTTCGATAAAGTGATACATTCAGTACAGTCAAGAGATTTTTATCTCTATTTTCCTTCTTTGTAGATAATATTCTCGCATTACAGATGCACCTTAGAATTCTCGTGCAAGACAGTAAAATTCTCATGGATGTGTGTAATTCCGGAATTGATGCAACTTGGACATCCCGCAACTCTGCTGATAATTTTTAAAATGAAAGCTGAAATATGCGTACTACCTACTGATTTTTTAATTTTCTGTTTTTTCCATTGTTTATTCACGTCTTTTATCGAAATTTGTGGCAGAGGAATATTAGATGTGTATGCTATTCTTGCGTATGCAGCTAAACATTCAGTGTGGTATGGATTCTGAGGCAGAGAAATGGTTTTCGTAATGGTCAGCTAAAATTTTCATTTTGTCACTATCTTTTTCAGTTTCCTTGCGGTAGTCGTAAGGCCGCGAAAGGCCGGCGAATACTTTTTAAAAGTGGTGTTGACTATCTTCCATATATTCGTCCCTTCTTTCATAAATTGAAGTTTTTCACTTCTTTCGTTTGTTCGTACTGTAATTTGTCTTTTTTATATAGATTATCCGAAACGATATATTCTACATAGTGCCGAAGAAAAAAGCCTTTACGATATTTTCGTTTAAGTTTATTCACAGTCTTTGCTAGCAAAACAAGGTATTTAGGCCATGGCGGTCTATACTTTTTCACCTTCTCATTGGTAGTGTATCTGTTCCATAAGGCTAAGAGAAATTTTGTAAACAAGCTGAAAAAGGAATCGTTGTCGATGTTATATACTACACTGTTCCAATATTGAAATACGCATTGCAAAAAAAATAAAAGATCTTCCAGTTAGTTTTGTGAAAAGCGGCTTTCCCGATAATATTTCGACTTCAAGAATTATGAAATTTTCTTCTTTCTCGATTACTGTACTCGCAATGGACTGATGAATTAGAATTGCTACTCTTTCAAAAGTTGTTATCTCCTTTAACACTTTCCCAGTAGAACGACGGAATATGTGATAGGTTATGAATCACTTTCCCTACTCGCGTTGGCACAACGATTTGTGGCAGATACGAAGAGAGAAGAATGTCAACATCACGAGACTGTACACTAAGGATCTCACAATTATACAATAAAACAAGTAAATATACCTTAGCAAAAAAAGGTAAATGTACATCACCTGACTGACAAGGTTTATTAACATTAAGTAGCTTCAGGTTCTATAACCAAATTATACAATACCAGCATTTGCTTGAATTGATATAACAGAATCAAAACAGAAATCGAATTTATAGAGAAAAAAAGATGTCAATATGTCTGAACGCACCAAGGCGTCGATGAAAATGAACTGGAATTGCTAAAAACCAGCGACGGACAACTTCGCTCTGGAATTGATACTTTTTTAAAGTAGACTGGGAGTGTCAAAAGGCCAGAGTTGCTGAAACTAATCGTTTTTTGAATCTATATTCAAAAACTCAACATTTCGTTTGTTCTCTAGTACTTATTTTTTGTCAAAGCCATTTTTCGAAGATGAGGGAGATGAGCTGGGTTTTCAGGAGATTTTTGGAAAACCAGCTTACGTTTGTCGAAATTCACATAGGAATGTACAATTTCTTTTTCATGGATATATATATATAGTCTGACGTGTCTTCTACAAAACTGGATCTGAGCGACATCTTGGAAATCCATGGTTTGGAAGCTACGGACATCTTTTGCGAAGCCTTAGGACTAGGCATGCATCAATACCAGTCATTATTGAAGATATTGTATAATATTATTGGGTATTCAATAATATTCGGATTCAATATTATTGTATACTCAATATATTGGGACCAATAATATCAGTCACCCAATATTTTCAGACCAATAATATTGTACAATAATATTGGGTAATATTGGGTTCCACAATACACTGGATTCCACCTTTTTTATATATACTTTCGGTTTTTATATATCTTTTTATGTATATTTTACATACTCGTGTTTATGCAAGGAAAGGAGAAAAGCTATTTATATCACCTTATTACTGAGGACGATGCGTGAACACAAGTCGTGAGAGTCAACCATCCGATAATATTCTATAAGTCATATCTCGTCTGATTCATGTTTTGAAGTTGGGAAGGGAGATAGCTCTCAGTTCACGGAAGAGCTGCATCACGAAGAGAAGTATTTGAAAGTGCAAACAGTTGAAGTGCTCGCTTTCTCCAAAGCAAATGACAACGGAAAACACAAACACTTGTATCTGACAAGAATAATTACTTCAGGCCATGAAAACTACAAATAAATTATGCGCAAGATGCATGGTACGTCTTATGCCACTTAAATTGACAAAAGAAGAAAAAGGAAAGGTTCGAGCGAGGTTCGAACTCGCGGCCTTCTGCGTGTAAAGTAGACGTGATAACCGCTACACCACCGAACCCAAAGTACAGGCCACCGTAATCATATATCAAGGTGAAACTGGTACCGAGACCCAGCAGTCTATACATAGGCTGACTTCGACCAAATATTCTTGATTACAGGTAAATTTGGACAGTTTGTGTAGTAATAGAATTTTCGTTGAACACCTTGCAAAAGAGATAAAAATATACATGCTGTATATCGCCACGAACATATCTTGCGAAATAGCGTCAGTTAACCCTTTACCCTTCCCCCCTCCCCCATAGCAGTTCCAGAAGAGCAACTGACAAAATAACTTTATTAATGGAGTACTAGCCCCCCTAGTATGCCAATAGTGCGGTCTGATCCACCGAATGTCCTGGCGCTAGAGTAGGGCGGTTTGATTGATCCCACAATTGTGTGGTGGAGGAAAGGAATTGAACTACATTGTAATACTTGATTTTTTCTCTTTGACCACATTGTTGAGTGGACCGAAGCAGCATCTACCTCGCACTATTAGAGTAACGGAAAAAAGGCAAGGAGTGAACCGATAAAATTTAAAACCAAAGAATACATGTATTTTTTACACGTGCTGTCAAGTTATAGCCTAGTTTGCTCGAATAACCTGCGAATAGACTAGTTTTTCAAAGTGGCAAAGACGCATTAAACGAGAAGATTCACGTAGGGAAAATTGTTAAATAATAAATAACTTTTAGGATTATAATATTGAAAAGATTCCTTTCCATTTTGTCTTTAAGTATCAAAGACACCGCTATCGGAGTATAGAATCCAAAGCGGTTGAAAAAAGGACGTTGGTATCCTTGACAACCCCCTTATTCTATCATTTCGCTGTATCGACACCTAATTTTTTTGTGGAAGAATCCGAAAGATATTCTACAGTTTTTTAGAATATCCATTTATAGAATATCCGCTGTGAAAATAATATTTATTTCCGATTTCGTTCATCTTTGCTTAAGATCGCCTTATCATTGATCGTAAAGTGAATTTGAAGATAAACTCACTTTTTTAAGCAGCAAAAGTTCACTAGTCCACGGTTTACCCAAGTTCACTTTCTTATCGCATGTCGAGACGCGAGTCTCTTTAAAAATTCACGGCTGCATCGCGTAACGCGTTCTCTGTAAGACGCGATTTTTTCGCGCTCATACAAAAATCGATGACTCTCAAGTATTTTACTATAGCTACTGTTTATTCGCGTTTTTTGGTGAATATCAGTAAATGAGCCGCCCTATTGTAAGAAAAAAACACGATCGCACCGTGACACATTTTTCATACAGTAATCACGCTTAGATCGCGAATTACAAATTTTCAAAAAGTAAGAGTTCATCGCGGTCGTGCCGCGACAATAGCGACTTTTCAGCGATCGCGGCGCGATCACTGTAAGAAAAAAGTGTCTCATCGCGATCGCGAATTACAATTCTTTTCAAAGTTAGTCGCGATCGCGGAGCGAGCACCGTGTTCGCGACGCGAATGAAGCAAGAAAGTGAACTTGGGTATACTTTACTATGCGTCTATTCAAATATGTTAGACTAAACTTCTTTTCCTTTTCTTTCTGTTCCACCATTTTGCCAATGGAAGAACAAAATGCGTGACTATAACTGTTCTCTTTTGTCTTTTTCATCTATAGAGAAAGAAAACGTGATAAATGTGAAGCAAATGTCAACGAACATATATTTGTGGTGTATGTTTATCTCTATTTGAATACCAGAGGCTTAGTGACACAGCAAAATAACATTTTTTTCTGCATTTTTTCCTTCTTTGCTGAACACATCCATTTCTAGTTGTAAAAGAAAGGTATTATAATAAATATGGATTAATATTATTAGTTATATAGAAACAACACAGAACTAGGAATTATGTTTGGTGACAAACCTCCAGTTATTGCAGTTTGTGGCGCAACTGGAGCACAAGGTAACAGACAGAAGAATGGCAATTAGATAGGGCTGGCACACGCAGACACGCACAAAAACGCGAATTTTACACTCAGTTTTCATTTTAACGAGTTTTTATAGAAGAAACAATACTTTTATATACGTTTTGCTGAGGAAAATTCGCATTTTCATCGTTTTTCATAGTAAAAGGAAACTATTTTAACGTATAACTGAGTGTTTTGCTATAAAAAATAGTTAGAAACGTTTTTCGGTCCGAATAGCGTTAAGAAACACGGATTTTCCTCAGCAGAACGTGGGAAAATGCGTATTCTTATAGAAAACATGTTAAAACGAAAATAAAGTCTGAAATCCGCATTTAAATTGCATTCGTGTGTTTGTTCTTTAGGTGGTGCTGTTGTACGTGCATTGGCTAGAGCTGGAAAATACAAGGTATGCAATCTATTTCTCTTGTAACTCCTTTTTCATCGTTATCCTTCGAAATCTAGATACGTTGTCTAACACGTGATCCGTCTTCATCAAAATCACAGAGATTACAACAAGAGTTCGGCAGTAGTGCGGATATTGAATTAGTTAAATGTGATCTTCAAAAGCGTGACGATGTGCGTCAAGCATTTCAGGATGTACGGGCAATATTTGCACTAACAGATTTCTGGGCAAACCCGACCAAACCTGAATTGGAAATTGATAGTGGACGGCTAATGGCTGATGTTGTAGCAGAAAACTTGAGCAGTACTTATTCCCCCTATTTTATTTATTCATGCTTAGAAAATGTCGAACAGGGAAGCGGAGGGAAAATGTAAGTAAAACTTGTAGGCTCTTTTGGCTATCAAAAAGTTCGAATTGAAAAGGCGGTTTTCCGAAAATTTTAACCCCAGTGGAAATCTTTCGATGTGCAGTTTGAGTTTCGGAAAACCGTAGGATTACACAGTATTTGAGGCCTTCAAATTTAGATCTTTTTAAACACACTTAAAAGTGTCAAAATTTTCCTTACTTCAGTTCTTCATGTCATCACTTTACAAACAAAGCAAAGATACGTGATTACATCCGAGAATGTCATCCAAATCTGAAAACAATCTATGTTGAAGCAGCATTCTACATACAAAATTGGCAGTCACCGCTAATGGGGATGACGCAGCGTTCTTCCGACGGTACGATGGAATTTCTCTTGCCACTTATGAAAGCCGATACAATCATTCATCAGATTGATATTACAGATTTTGGTAAGATCGTCTCTGCAATTTTGGAAGATCCGGAGAAACTCGTAAACAAAGAGATTTGTGCATGTGGTGAAGCGATCAAATTTAAAGATATTCCAAGAGTGTTTACACAAGTTACAGGCATTCTATCAAAATGTAGAACACTGAGGGACGAAGAATGCCGGCAACGGGCGAAACATTTTCCAAAAGATATACAAGATGAGTTCATATCAAGTAAACAGTGGGCTGAAGAATACGGGTATTATGGGAAGAAGACAGATAGTGAATGGGATTCAGGCAAGAAATTGGTTGAGAAAAACGGTGGGAAGATGAATACATTTGAAATGTTTTTAAAGAAAACGGGTTGGACAGGACCAGAAAAGTAGGTTTTCTTTGAGACGATAAAAATATACGGACAGTGGGCTTTGACTGTACTGAAATTTTTCTGTTCTCGAATAAAAATTTTCTTTGATGTTACAAGAGAGATTCTGCTTATGCGGATAGGTTTTCGCTGTTTTTTTGTTTAGAGAAATAGTAAGACACAAGCGGACTGCTCAAACACTCAGACGAGAATGATTTCACACAAGTCCTAGTTTTTGTTCATACAAGGTGGATTTTTAAAGGAAACAGTTTACGTTAGAGTGCTTTGACACTGTGTTACGCTCTAAGAAGATGAAGATAGCACCAAAAGCCACTAATTTTGGACACAAAACCAGCTCAGCACTGCATAACCTCCTTTCCTTTACTGGGATGAAAAAACATTTAACACCAACGAAAGAAAACTTATGCTTTCATTAGCCCTATTTTGGAGGCACGTTTCAAATTTCAATTAGGGATGGTTCAATGTCGGTGCACTGATAATCGACGACACCGACACTGAGGATCACTGAAACACTGGCACTGACACTGACCGTCACTGACCAGAATATGAATCATGTGTATATTCCGTCAATGTTTTCTTTCTTTTTGCTGGCAGGCGTATAGGCGCACACGTAAACAATTCTCTTCTATCTAATGCACTAGTAGTTCGTTCTTCTTTTGCTTCCTCTCTATGTCTCAATCATGTATGATCTCTATAGTGAATATGCAGTGCGTTCTTTCTTTCTACGACTTCACAGTGAACTTTTTTTCTCTTTCTGTGATTTTACTATTTAAAAACTTATTTTTATGCTTCAAAGGAAGACTTTTTCTCACTTCAATTTTAGAAAAAAAAATTATTATACCTCCCATCTAACAAAAATAAACAGATAATGAAATTGGTATACTTAGCTAGAGGCAGTGTGTCGGTGCGTCAGTATGTCAGTGTTCATTAGTGTCAATGCTTCAGTGTTTCAGTGATTGTCAGTGTCGGTGCGTTAGTGTGTTAAGCATTCGTCAGTGTCAGTATCTCAGTGTTTGCACCGACACTAATACCCTAATTTCGATGGTTAGATAACGTAGGTCTGTCTCCAGAAACTATAAAATGTATAACGGGAAAAATAAAAAAATGATTCCTCCCAACTTAAAACTACCCATGAGTATTTTTTTTGCATAAAAATTCTGTGGACCGCGGTTGACTTTTTCAACCACGAGAAACTAGGCGTTACACGGCACCGCGTTTTTTTATTAACCGCATGCCATCGATAAAGTAGATTAAAACCGCGGTTTCACTCGTTTTTTTTTGGGAATCGCGGTTACAAAACGCAAATATCGTAGATAATTTACATTGTACACTATATGACTCATGCGGTATCGCGTTTAATCGATGAGTAATCGAGAACCGTGATTTGTCACGGTATCTGTAAAACGTATTGTTGTTTACCTGTTCTCTCTTTCTGCCAATGCAGGTGCGAATGTAGATGCTTGCTGCCTTATAGCATAAGTATACATGGGGTAAAATCGTTATGCTATAGCAGCCAAATCCTCTAAAATACGCTCATTGACTTCCAATGTGTTCATTGTATTCAATGCAATGACTACAAAGTTAGTTATAAATGTGTACACTAAAAAGATTTAAACTTTAAAGTAAAATTTAAATAAGGTTTTTTGGAAAACTCTTCAAAAGCTAGGAAGATCATATACTGGAACTTTCATAAGCGTTCAGGTTGATTTGGTTTTCAATTCTCTTTCGAATGCCGTTTGAACGAACTCTCTATCACCTTGCTGAGCTAAGATATTTAACATTTAAAATTTGAAAATTAATTTAAAAATTCAGATTTTGCGTTGGAGATTGATTTTTTTTAAAATGTTCGTCTTTCAATGTTGAATACGAATATCACCTTCAAAATTAATTTCTAACGTTTAGTTTTTTTAAACTAATTTTACTCGGAACGTGTACGTCGAAGACCGTGGTTTTCTAGAAACTCTACTTCCGTGGGCTTTGGAAAAAACCGTCCGCTAGACAAAATAAAGAGCATGTCGAGAAATCCTTAAGCGCCAAAAGTGAGAAAAGTCGGACTGGTAGGGTGGAAGTTAGCCTAGACCGACTTTCTCATGTACCACGCCTATTCTCTTCGAAACCCTAAGAAAAGAGCCTCCACAATACGTAATCGCGAATTCATAGGCTGTCAACACTGCAATGTCCCAAGTGGAAGCATGTTCCAGCGTACATTTTCAGAAGATTAATTATCTCTCCGATTCTGTCTAATCAAACGCAAACGCACTCTAATGCGGATTTTTCCATGTTTTCGGACGTGCTCTTTCTCATAACACTGAAAACGACTCTCTTGGGCAACACAGTGGGGTTCTTGTGGTAGATTTCCTTGAAAAACGAGTTGGAACCAGGGAGAATTTTCCTCTCACGCTCTATGGGTGCCAAAAGAAGACTTGTACGCCAATTGGGTTGGTTAGAGATGATAGAGAAAACAGTTTTCTGCATCTTTGCAAAACAAAATTGGCTAGAAAATGTTACACATTGTCATAACTGAACAAAATTTATAATGAGTCGCATGAGCAGGGCGCAGAAAACCGAATATGAAATAAAAGGGAAAAGGTCTCGATCACCACGGCTTGATATGAAAAACTTGATTTAAACGCGTTTATTGGTGGATCGCCGAATGGCATGGTAGGTCCACGATTCTCATATATGAGGAAGATGCTTGAGCAAGATAAAAACAAGAATAAAATTTAAAAAGAAATTTTAAATGTAGTCGAGTAAGTGTCTGTAAACAGGAAGAACATAAAACGGAAGATATCGTGTGCGGTGAATGAAAAACCTGCCAGTTGTTTTGAGAAACAGTTTTCATTTTTGAGAAAATGACAAAAACGCACAAATATTTTGTGAAAATACCACTTTTTTCATATCTTCGAGAGCCCTCACTTGTGATATCTATAATTCCTGAGCGAAAGAATATTAAGACGTTAAATGTTTACCATAAACTAGTTTTTTTATCTAGGTTTATGGTGAAAGATTTTGCGGAATCTTCCGCATTTACAATCACTATCTGTCAGAGGCATAAAAAAGCAATAGTTATTCTGTTTTTTTATCAATATTTCAGAAAAAGATGTAAATGGCAGCAACAGCAGTATCATCAGAATGTAAACAATGTAAAGTCAATGGTTGTAAACGACAATCATCAGCACTGTGTTATCATTGTAATAGAAATGTATTTAAGAAACATTTTGTTGAACATACAGATGAAACAACAGCTCAATTAAATCCATTGTCAGATTCTGTTAATGAATTATATAGCAAATTTCATAATTTAACAGTCAATGAAAAAAGAATCATTCGACGAACTTGATCGAGGGCGTTGTGAATCACACAAATTGATCAATCAACACTATGAACTAAAACGAGATGAAATTCAAAATTTAATACAAAAATAATTTGATGATAGATAACAAATGATTGAATATTTAAAACAGGAAATAAAACAGCGAATAGAGGAGGATGATGCAATGCAAGAAGAAATTTTGGAAATGAAATCAAAAATTTATTATCTAACCAATGATATTGATCAAATGAAATTTATTCAAATAAAAATAACAAAAACATTAGATTTAGGAACTTACTGTGCTATTAAAATGAATGTCATTGATTATCAATCATATAAGAAAACAATAAAATTAATCAATGATAATAAAAATAATTATAAATGGGAAATGTTTATGTTTATTTATTTAACGCCAACAGCAGAAAAATGCAAAGATAAAAGAGCAGGCAAATCGAAATAAAATCATTGTATGCCTGGATCTGTTCGACAAAATGAGACATTAATAAACAGATAAGAGAGTAAAAGAAAAAATTGAGAGATGGTGATGAGAGAGAGAGATAGTAAGCAGAAAGAACTCCATCCATGTGACACTGTGTAAGAACAAACAATACAGAAGGCATCAAGTCAATCGAAGCGTTTGGTTGAACGAATATATCGAAGAATAAAATTAAAAATTGATAGTAGGTCATCTCTGTTCAATGTACGGATAGAGTGATGGTGGAGTAGTATGTGATCTAAAGTGATAGAGGAATTTATAATACCGCGTATCTATTGAAACATATCCTGCCGCTGCTCTTCATAGTCCAAACATTCCAAAAAAAAGTGTTTTACTGTTTCCTTATCAGCGCCACAGTTGCATGCCGAGGACTGTGCTAAGACATGAGTGAAAAGAGGTGCATTTAACTGAGGAAAACCTAGTCTACAGCGGGTATGGTGAATTTCAATAGAACGATCCTGCACTAGAGGAATATGAAAGGGTTGAACATATTGAGAAGTTAGGTACCATTTAAAGTCTTTTAAACGGTGCAATTGTTTAGCATTGTCGTGCAGCATATTCCACTGTCGACTACCTTCACGCATGAATGTTTTTTCAAGAAGAGCACGACCTCTAAAAAAAATGGGAGCATTTTTAGTAACAGAGCTCCTCGTGTTATAGGAATGATGATTGCGATTAGAACACAACTCAATAAGATAAGATGGCACTCTACAATGCATAATTTTGTGAAATAAGCACATGCGGCGTACATATAAAAGTTGTGAGATAGAGAGCCATCCAAGATCCTGAAGAATTTTACTCAGAGATGTTCTCGCATCGCACCCGAAGCAGCAAGACCTGCTTGATACTGAATTTGGTTCAAGCGAATTATATTTGCTGTAGTTGTACCCCCATAGATAACAAGTCCGTAGCTAATAACGCTAAGAACAAACGCATGGTAGACGGAGACCAAGGTTTGACGGGAAACACGTCTGCTCAAATATTTCATTGAGCCGACTACCCGCAGTAGTTTGGTGCGAATATTATTGATATGAGGCAACCAGTCTAACGTTGATTCCAACGTCAAACCCAAGTAAACGTGTTTCACAACATATTCTAGTGCTATATTATCAATAAACAAGGAAGAAGACCGAATTAGGGTTTTATCATGGGAAAACAACATAGCGACACACTTATTAATATTTAGTGGTAGAGACCACTGCTTAGACCAAAGATTGATTCTGTCCAAATCATCGTTCATAGTAGAGACAGCTCTCCCTAAATCATCCACTTCAACATACAGTGATACGTCATCAGCAAACAGTTTACAGGTAGAAGCTAATCCCAGGGGAAGATCATCGATAAATATTAAAAAGAGGAGAGGTCCTAGGACTGATCCCTGTGGAACACCACAAGAAGTAGGCAGAGGATCCGAAGTAGTACCATCAACCATAGTAACCATTTGTCTGTTCGTTAGGTAGCTTCTAAACCAATCGATAAGATCATTCGGAATACCTTTACATTTTAGTTTCAGCAGAAGCCCGGCGTGGGACACCTTGTCAAATGCTTTAGAAAAATCCAAAAAAGCTGCTAACACTGGTTTGCGCTGATTAAGACTGTTTGCAATAAGATCAACTATAGCAACAAGCTGGTTTACAGAAGAATCATTCGGAAGAAATCCAGACTGACTTCTGCAAATCAAGTTATTGCTTCTAAGAAAGCCCAAAACATGTTTATACACAACTGTCTCAAAAACTTTTGACAATGCGCTCAAAAGAGTGATAGGCCTATAATTAGAGCAAATCTGGGGATCATCCGCTTTAAACAAGGGCAAAACATGTCCAGTTTTCCAAATACTGGGAAATTCCTTATTGATGAGTGACTCATTAAAGAGGTGAGTAACAATAGGAGCAATAACAGCAGCTGATTCCCTTAGCATTCTGTTAGAAATGCCAGGAGCTGTAGCTTTACTTATATCTAGATGTAAGAGAATTTCATAAACTTCAGTTACATGTATAATAACGTTGGACATCACTATAGGTGATTGAGGCAAAGTTGCAACCGAGGGACATGTAGATAATGTATCAGCTGTACATATTTTGGCAAAATGGCGATTTAGTTCTTGAGCCCGTTCAGCCGGTGATGAAACAATTTTATTGGACGAATCAATCAATGGAGGAATAGTGGAATTCTTCGTTTTTCCAATAGAATATTTCAGTAAGCTCCACCAGGACTTCGAGGAGTTCTTAGTAGACGATAAATGAGTATAGTAGTCATTTTTTGCCTGTAAACATTCTCTTTCTACCTGTTTGACACTAACAAGATAGGCCTGATGATCCTTAGTAGATTTCGTGTACATATAACGACGAAAGCATTTTTGTTTTAAACGAATAATATTACGAATTTTATCTGAAAACCACGGCTGGTCTCTGGACGAGACAGTAATCCACTTATTTACTAAACAAGCATTAGCAGTTGTAAGAAATTTATTTTGGAATGCTTCGACTCTTTCTGAACACGAAGTAAGATGGTCAAGCTCACCATGCCAGTCGACTGAGGACAATGCTTGGCAAAAAGCGTTCCAGTCAGAGTGTTTGTAGTCATAAACTCGACGTTTAAATGCGAAGGGTGTGTGTTTTAAATTAAAAATAGTGAAGTCAACCATACAGTGGTCACAACGTTGTGCTAATTGAGGTAAAATTCGTACGTCTGAAACTGAGCAAATGTTGTTAGTAAAGATAAGATCCAAGCATGAGTTAGATTTCGGTCTGGTAGGTTTAGATACTAACTGAGATAATCCTTCATTAACAGCAAAGTCAAAAAGCTGAGAACCTGCTAGCGTGGAAGGTCTAGATGAACACCACTGATCAGAATGACCACTGAAATCACCTATCAAGATTAACGAATCATGCTTCATATTGGACGTAGATCTTATTTTATTCAGTATATTACTCAAATGTTCAGTAAAAAGAGGCATTGGTGAGAAATCTTGAGATCTATAACATATGCCTAATAAAAGTATTTTTGATGAGGGAAAGTGCAAACTCAAGAACAACGTTTCAAATTTTGTGTCATCTAACTCAGTCCAGTGTTTAAATTTTATGTCATTACGTATAAAACATAAAATGCCACCACCTTTTGTTGCACGGTCTTTACGCAGAAGCGTGTATCCCGAAATACGGAGAAGGTCATCTGAAACTGTTGACCTTACCCAAGTCTCAGTAATAGCGGCTACAACAGGTTTATCAGAAAGAATATGAGAGTGGAGCAGATCAAACTTTGAACATGAGGAGGCTGGTGACTGCGGATCAGTTGGAGCAAGAATACTATTTGCATTCAAAAACAAAATACGCATAGGATCAACTTGATTATCAGATTTCTTTTTATCCATTATCAAAAACAGTGGCACAGGGATGTAGCATAACAATCAGAATACCTCTCTCTCTCTCTCAGCACACGATTCTCCTAAATAGTCTAGGATAGAATAAAATACAGTATTTTCTTTCATAGGTTAGCTTCTATTTCAATCATCTAATAATTGATCAATCTGGTCTGTTGATATTAAACGAGTACGTTTAACACCATCACGATACATCACCTTTCCATTTAATGTATAAACTGATATTTTCCCTAATTTTTGACGTGCATAACGATATATTGTCAGATTATCTTTGGTTAAGTCTTCATTGACTGAAATTTGTTTATCAAGATTCTTTTTCTTCTGAAGAATAAATTGACGTGTTCTATAATGTATGAAACGACATATAATAGCACGTGGATTCTTCTTCTTATTATATACAGGACCAACACGATGACTGATACTTATGTCTTCTGTTTTCACATTTACTCCAATAGAAGCACATGTTTGAATAATAAGTTGACATGTATCTTCCCCCGCTTCTTCTGGTAAACCATAGAATCTTAAATTCGTACGTCTGTCATAGGTAGCTAAGTCATCATGGGCTACTTTTAATTCAAATAACTCATCTTCTAGTTGTTTGATACGTTTTTCTAACGGTAACACTGTTTCACGGACAATTTTTGAAATTCCTTGCAGCATAGCATCAGATTGGAGAACACTTTTAACTATACCTTCAATATCCACTGTAGCTACACTTTCATAATCACATGTAGTTGGTTTATTTGAACGACGTTGAGAGCCTTTAACCATAGTTAAAATTAAATATCAACAATACAATACTCGTAGCAGGATGTATGCAGTCAAGTGTTCTCTACAGTCTGAAAAGGTTTAACAGTACCTTTTGTGAGGGTTCGCCCGCCCTTAAAAGAAGAGATGATCTCACTTTCTCCGTTTCCCCTCCTCGTTAGGGACGAGATTATCAAATAGAGATTGTGGGCATATCTATAGATCTATACTTTTCTAATGCGAATGCAGACAGTTTGGTTGCTAGGTACTCACTCGCTGAAAGTTCGTGTAAATTTGTAAATTCTTTAGAAATGCGTATCACCTCAGGCAAAATCCAGTACATATACGCTTCTTTTAGAGACGTAAAATTGATCTCATCTTATCGTATACATAGCTACTAAATAATTGGACTGTAATTTTTCGTTGAATTATCCATTTTTGCTTTTTCAGCTGAAGGCTTCTTTTGGACGGCTACCAGAAACAACTTCTCTTGGACACAGAATAAATGAATATTTCGTTTCGAATATAAACTTTTTTCGAAAAATAGAAGTGGTATTCCTTGAAGTTTGAAGAAGAATTATAGTATGAAGGAGAGAAAAGGAAAAATTATATATTAAACTCTGACTGATATAGAATATGTATTTTTTGAGGTTGAATAGTTGTGGGACAATAACAATGAGTAATTCGTTTTCTCTATATTTTATGAACCTGACCAGTTTCGAATTCTTCTTCAGAGGCTAACAGAAAACTGTATTTTATGTGTCACTTATCCTGACCAGACAAGAGATGCAAATATGTTCTCATCTCTAGAACCCCGAATATTCTTCTACTGGAAGTTTAGGCTGTTTAAAATGGATAAGAGTTTTTATGCTAGTTTTCTTCTATCAGTAAGAAACTCGCTACGTTAAAGGGCGAACATTCATTTAAGATCTACCTTAAAAGTACGCGAGGACGGCATTTTCAGTCGTTGACTCGTACCGTGTAGACTACAAGAGACTAATTTTCACCGGGATTAAAAATAAGTAAATCAGCTACAGAACTGCGTATCACTGATTAAATAGTTGGTCATTTGAATTGAAAATTTTCTGTCAAAACGAAAACCGTCAGCATACGGTTCTGTGACCTCGACTGTAACCTCGAATTAAAATAGGACATATTTCCCCTAAAGTACACATGTATGTATTTAATAGTATGCTGTTACGAACAAGATGATTGTGCTACTTTTTATAATGTCGGATTATTGACCAAGATTAAAATCAAAATTTGTTAATAGAAATTTATTTGAACTAATTTACAAATAGAAATTAATAGAAATTAATTTTGTTCAAAGAAATTTTGAGTCTATAAATTAATTTAAACTGATTTCCAATACAAAATTAATGTATATTGGTTTTTTTAAATAAATCTAAATGGATTTGTTGATCAAAATCCATTTAAATAAATTTTCAATCAAAAATTCGTTCCAATCAATTTAACGAAAAATAATATACATCAATTTGAGAGTATTCTTGTTTCGTCGACACTTTTTTTATCCGTTGTAAAATATGGAATTATAGTTGCATTTATAAAAATGTATACTACAATTTTAAATTTGAAAAAAGGTGTTAAAATTCAAAAAGAAGATCAACTGAGCAACGGATTTCTTTATCAAAACGAATAGTGTACAGAAAACAGTTGTAGTTGATAATAAAATAGCTATAATTGTAGCTATAATAAAAACATGATTTTTAAAAAAAGTCCTACTTTTATATTCTTAAAATTAGCTCCATTCAAAAGAACATAAAAAGTTGTCTATATTGTATAAATATATCATTGTAACCTCATTTCGTTTGGGCACAGTAAGAAAATCACATCAACTAATTGAAAGAAATTCCAAGATTTTGGCCCTGGTTTTACGATTTTTGATACTAAAAGTAGTTGTAAAACTTCTTTTTGCAATGCACTAGATAGAGCAATTAATTTGGGATAGAATACACACTTTTTCCTGTTCTGCAATGCACTTTTACAAAGCACGTAGCGTGTTTTCTAATTATTATGATCAATGATCTTCCCAAAGTAAAATGCATTTTTCACCGTGATAATTTCATTTTTTCTCAACACCAAAGTGATATTCGGAATTAGCGCAAAATTCTGCATCGATTACATGTCTTTTTTTAAAAATCAGAGAAAAAAATTTTTTCACTTTTCCTGAGGGGTACCACAGGTCGAAAAAATCGAAAGTCGGAATTTCGAAAAACTGTAAAAGCCATTTTGTTCAGCATGCCGAATAACCTCTAATCCGATGGTTTTCATCAAAAAATATTCAGGGCCGAAAAATGGCCTTGTCCGCCCCACTCCTTTGTAAAAGATATTTTATATCTGCATAAATAAAATGACTGTGGTTAAGTGGCGTCAATTACACCATGTTTTACTCGGATTTTTCTTCGAGAACATGATGTCATTGGCCTAGCCATAAAGAATCTGTAATTACAATAAAATTTATTACAGTAAAAAACTAGAAAACGAGAAAATCCTACTGGAGTTATTCGATCTCTTTTCACGGCCTGAACTTCGAAAAGGAACTATTGTTTTTGATTTCTAGAAGTCATGCTACGAGTTGCAAAGTTATCCTGAATCCGTGAACACTAAAAAGTTTTTAGAGGCAAGAAGTACCTTTCCAAAGAGACTTTTTGTGCCCGTTGGGATTCTAATTTCACCATGTTTTACTCGGGCTTTTCTTCGAGAACATGATGTAATCAAGCTTACAAGAACTACCAGCTATAGTCTCCAGATCTCTCACAGTACTAGATATCTCACAGATGTCTTGTGAATTCGACAGTAAAAAATATTTTCTGTAAAATGTGAAGATCAAGGTGGAGAAACTTTGGTTCAATCTACCACTCGTAACCCACTCATTCTTCAACCAAAACTACTATTTAATGTGATGGATCATGACTCGAAGAAAAACATCGCTGCAGAATCTTAAAGTAAAAAATGTTCTCCCAGTTAAGCAATGAATGAATTTTCAATGAAATTTCAATGAAGATTGTTTGATATTCAGAGTTGTTAAAGAAAAAATATTGACTTTGTAACAAGAAATATGGGAATACTCTCGTATATATACTCATTCTGCAAATTACTGGTATTTTCGGATGATCCTACTTTGAAAGATTTAAAAATGGCTAGTATAGAAATGGTCTGCGTATATCGCTGAGAAAGTAAGAAATACCTTGTAAATAAAGGACGCTGTTTTTCTTTGCATGTCCAAGTAGGATGAGAGTGAAAAAATACAGATATATTCAAGCACACATGTTTTATCCGATTTTTTCTTCCGGAACATGTTGCAATTTACTTCAAGTTCAACCAGATATTGAACTTCAAATCAGTACACAGCAATTTTATTTGCACCTTTTCTCTAATGGAAATTCGAAGAGAATGTTCAAATCTCTTAACTCTCTCTTCATCCGCTATGTTTTTATTCTATAGTAGGCATCCATCGATCAATAATCAATGTCAGGATATTCAGGAACATTGTTTTGAATAGATTATAAAATATTTCTTAGAGCTGCCGAATGCCTCATTTTGTAGAGAAATGTTTCTTCTGCAAAAGCGAAGCCTTAGAAAAGTTTCAATATTATATGTAAAGAAAATATAATAAATCGAAAACGCACTCAATCGCACAAGGATTATTGATGATCGATTATTTTTTCGTTATTTTTCGCATTTTTGAATACTTATACTGGCTTGTGAACGGTCAATTTGAAAAAGAGGATTTTCTAAACACTGATTCAGAGAATTAGTGTCGAAAAAAGAGAAAAACGGGGGCTTTTTCGATCTAAAAGTGTATTGCAGGTCTCTATGCGTGGTAGTATATTCGGACGTGATAAGACACGGCACTGCTGAGATGTTCACCTAGTTTATTCACGATATCATACCTGGCTTGCGGACCCGGTCATCTTGAGATAAAGAGAAACAAAGAGGATTTTCTAAAAAATTTTGACGGAAAAAGAGGACAAAGAGGATGGGTTCTAAAAAAAAGTGGAAAAAGAGGATCATTCACAATCCAGATGCGTATATTTTTGTTACAAATGACATTAAAACTTTTCTAACGCTTCACTGTTGTAGAAGAAACATTTCTCTACAAAATGAGACATTCGGCAGCTCTCAGAGATATTTCATAATCGATTCAAAACAATTTTCCTGAATGTCCTGACGTCGATTATTAATGGATGCATAAGGGGCAATAATGCAAACCTGGAGCAAAACTTTTTTCTAGTTTGTTCTACATGATTGTATAGAGCGCGTCAAGCTGATTAAGAAAATGTGTGTTTCGACTTTTCAAAACCGATTTTTAACGTCCAAAAATCGAGGAAACTCGAAAAAAACACTGTTCAAAACAGCCGGAGTATCCGACTTGTTTGCTAATTCGACATGCTCAAACTATTTTTTTCTAATTCAGCGTCGAAAACTGAATTAAAAAATGATATTTAATCAGTTCGAAGTTATAACTTCGAACTGATTAAATATCATTTTTTAATTCAGTTTTCGACGCTGAATTAGAA